TGTGTGTGTGTGTGTGTGTGTGTGTGTGTGTGTGTGTGCTGATAAGCCTGAGTGGTCTGCTGACTGACCTTTGTATTTATTTAAATAATTGTTATGGGCAGGTTACAATATAAAAATGTTTGTCATAATCATGTCTTGTGATTATTTGACAGGAGTTTTACTTTTAAACTGTGAGTGTATTTAATTTAGTTATGTTAGTTATGATTGTTTAGTTGTGATGTAAATACAATAAAAATTAAACCAAGATTTAGAATAATTATCATTTTGTTCCATAAATTGGTAATGTCTGACTGGGTCTCGTGTCACTTTACGTTCAATAAATTGGGCCCCGAGGTCAAAAAGGTTAAGAACCCCTGTTTTAAAGCACTGCAGGTCTACTCTGAAAATAACCCCAGTTACATAAAAATACTTAGTCATTATTTATAGGCACTTCATTTGCGACACAACAATAATACTGGACTACACCAAACTGGAAGTAAAAGTACAGAAGGCTGTACCGGACCATCAACCTGTATGACGCTAAAGACGAGAGAGCAGAATGACAGAACGGTAAGCTAACTTTAGCTACCGTTAGTTTCCTCTTGTTGAGTTTAACTCTGTGTGAAAGGACAAAACAAAACAAAAAAAAAGTTACAATCGCTACCAATATTTAACTTGAAGTTAATCTAATCTGTGTGACATAACCTGGCCAGTAAATCAATCTAATGAACAGTAACTGACGTCAGATCATGCTGTGTAGCCCAGCTAAGATAGAAGCAGAGGGAATGTAAACAAACAAGATAAAGGTTAACTCAAAAACAAACAGTAAACATAATAAAATATCCCTGAAGGACGTGAGATACAAATGAGTACTGGCAATTGTTTGTTTGTAATTATTACCCTGTAAAAATTACCCTGTGTTTAAATGACAGTTTTTCACCTTCASGGTGGATTAAGTGTTTTACTTATTTTATTCTTTTTTTTCCAACTAGCAACTAAACAGATTCCTGTTTTGTTATATTTTATAAATATGTCCAAGTTTAATAATGTGAGAGAAATCCACATTTCTCTGTTCATTTAGTAAGTGTTTACTCACACAACTGGCACAATGATTTGTTAAAATAATACTGTACTTTTTTATTTAGCATGTAAAAAATTAGCCCTTCATGTTATAGAAAGAGCCTTTACTCAAAAGAAATGTCAGGTTTTTAGGAAAATGGCCGCTTATCAATTAATCGTTAGTCGATCAATAAGATCAATCAACTTTAGATTAATACATTAATCAATAACTTGCATCCCTAGTTTCCATCTCCTCTTTTATGGAAAATCCAAAAAAAAAAAAAAAAAAAAAAAAAAAAACTCAAGCTAGCATAGAAACATTTTTGCAAAATTGAGGAAGTTTTGCAGTGTCCATCAACCTTTTCTTTTCTTCAAAATGCACATAAAAATAGGGCAGGGTAAACCCTGGACAGGTCCCAAGTCCATGACAGGGACACAGAGACAAACAACCATTCACTCTCACTCACACCTAGGGACAATCTAGAGTCACCATTTAACCTAACATTTGTATTTTGGGTCTGTGGCAGGAAACCAGAGAAAACCCACACATGCATGGAGAGAACAAGACCAACTCTACCCAGAACGGCCCCTGCCCATTTGCAAATGTCAAAAACCCATATTTTATTCAGAAAGGGACATAGTTGAATAGTTAAATGTTGAAAATGAGAAAATGCACCCTATTTGAAAACTAAGGATGCCATAAAACCTGCCTCACTGATGGTATGGGGGTGCATTAATGCCTCTAGAAAAGGCAGCTTACACATATGGAAAGGCTCATCAGTGCAGGAACATTACTCCATCCAGACAGTGTCTTTTTCAGGGGAGGTCTTGCATATTTCAGCAAGACAATATTAAAGCACAGACTGTAACATGACTTTATTGAGGACAGCAGCAGCTGAACTGACCTGCAGTCCAGACCTCTCACCAACTGAATGAATGGTTAGTGTGTCACGAAACAAAAACCCGGAACAATCCTCCCTCAGCCCAGAGGAGGACAATATTCCCTGAAAAACTGCAGAGCTGGTTTCCTCAGTTTAAAATCAAAAGGACCTTATTTAAACAATGTTACTGTATGTTCCACTGTGAGTAAAATATGGTTTGTGGGATTTGTAAATCATTCCATTCTGTTTTGTTTACACAACATACCAACCTTGGCACTCGGGACAGTATTTGTTAGTATTGATTTACTTRGCTTTTCAAAGATTTTTGTTTTCTTCGAAACAAAGACCAGTTCTTTCATCAGCTCTGTTCAAACACTCAGAGTACAGTACGCATGTCAGCTGCTCACTTCGAGGCGGGAGTTAAAGCCATCCACACACCTGCTTGTAGTGCGCCAAAGCCCACACCAGCCGAAAAGTGACTTGTTGAGTGGAAAAGACAATGACACTCGCTGCGAGGGAGCGCTTCTGCCGGGTCAGGAAGTAAGCCACCTTCATCGCACCGTGGATTATCTGAGCATGTTGGAAAGAGATATAGTATGAAAGGACATCCTGTTCAGACCTGGTTTAAATGTTTTATCTAGAGTCTGACCCAAGGGTTTGTTGCTGGACGTGATTATTTTGGGAACAAAATATAATATTCTGCTTTAAACCTGGTACTTTCACATACATACTGTATTGTGCTGTACTGATAATAAGAGTAGTGCACAATAAATAATACGTTGCTTTTTGTGTTATACTTATGAGATAAACAGAGAACACAACACAGGAACAAAACTGGACAAAAAACAGGAAATGTTTGTTATGAGAAATGTGTAAAAACAAGCTGTGGGCTTTTTAATCATCAGTCCAAATGGAGAAAGGAATGAATGAACTTAGGGAAAATATGATGAGATCAAAATGAGTCTTTAGGAAGTTGTTTCTGCTGTAAAAGGTGTTAAAACCTATTTTAATTCATTTGTGAGTTTTCACCTGAAAACTGATGGGAAATTCAGACCAATGTGGTCCTGATATCTTTACTGCTGTCAGGTAAAATATGTAGTTCAATTCTTTACCACAATCAAGTAACTATGTTACCTTCAGTTGTTATTAAAAAGCTGTTTGTATCAAAAATAAATGTGACTCTAAACACCTTGAAATTGACCTGCGTCTCTTTAAGAACCTCCTGCTGTTTCAGACACTCCCACTTCAGCACATCTTCACAACAATGCGTCAGGGGAGGGGTGCTCTGTGGGCAGGARCTCTGCTGCAGACTGAGYTTCAGGGAGGAGCTTTGTGTAAATGGGCGGAGCTTTGTACCAGGAAGYGTTTAGGCAGCTCCACATGGCCACAGGAGATTCAAGGATTTCTCAAACATTCATGAATGTGTCAAAGCAACACTCTGGTATGGTTTTTGTTTTAGTTTCAGGAGTAGGAGGCTATTTTGAATGAAATGACCAAGTGAAGAGTTGAAGGCACAAGGCAGTTAATTAAAGGGGGGTCTGGGGGTCCTGTCACAAAAATTAATTAAATTAGGACCTTCATAAATACATTTTTCTGGCATTTGGAACAAGGCTGGGAGGGTGTTTGAAGAGTCCAAAATCAGAAGTTTTATGAGGACAATTTGTGTTTTTTTTTTGTTTGTGTTAAAGAGTTGAAATATTCTGTGTGAGAACACCTGTTTATATTTAAAAAGAGTTTTTAACAATTTACTTTAATTTTTATTTTCCATCTACATCTGTACATAAAGTGTGGATGGAACCACTTCAAATACCAGGACCAGCTGTCTGCCATCACTAAATCATCATACTACTAAAACTCTATGCTGGCCTAACCTTTTATTTATTGACTATTAAGGCCTGACCTGCCTTGGTGGTTCAGAGGCAGAACAGCAGCTAAAGTTCAACGCCCCAGTGCCCCATGATGGAAGAACCACGGCATCACAAACCCAAAKTTAAAGAGATTTGTCTAAGTGATTTTTGGCTCATTAACTACAGGAAGCATTGCTGCAACATCCCTTAATGATAAGTTTTTTATTATTTTGTACTTATTTTTGCAAATGCATCAAACTAGGAACACTTTCCCTTTCACTGTATACAATTTATACATTGATAATATAGATGACTCTGTTCTAAAATGTTTCAAATGCTTTTATTAAACAACATATTAGATTATTAGGACATTTTTAATGTACTACCAAATATAAGTATGGTATGTTAAAACAAGCTAATTATAAAATAAAGCAAAACAGAAAGATGTTTTTCTTAAATTTGCACCTATGTGGATGTCTAAAATAATATTAAATTATCCAGTAAAAAAGCACAGGAGGTAAACACACTCACCTTCATAGTGCAGGATCTGTTCCAGGACTTCACCAGCTCTGCAGCTCTTTGGTCCTGCCAGCTGATAAAGTTATGAAAAGGAACTCCAGTTTTTCTGTCAAAAYGAACAGCCAGAAAAAAGAAACATGGCAAACAAAGTTTAAAACAAGYGAGGCAAAGCAATTTCTCACAAGTTTGTCAGTGAATTTCTGAAGCAAAAGGAACACAGTGTGATGAATACGTATATTTACCGGTCCCAAGTTGTGAAGGTTGATCGCTGAGTTGAGATACCAAGAGCTTCAATCTGGCTCATTTGAACTCCTGCATCTACAAAACAACCACAACAAAACAAAATGCATACAGTAAATGTGGCTCTAGTGAAAAACTGGTTATTGTTATTGTCTCTGTCCTGATCAAAAATAACACCAAGTTTCTTTACATTAGAAAGAGAGATTAGAGATTAGATCAAAAGAGAAGGCCAGATTAATGCCATCCAGAGGAGATGAAAGGATGCAAAGTTGATCCCTAAGATGTTCAGGTCCAAAAACTATAACCTCTGTCTTATCTGACTTAACAATAAGTTAAGAGTCATCCATGTTTTTATGTTGTTAAGACATGCTTGTAGTTTAAGTAACTGGTTGGATTCATCGGGTTTCATGGATAAATATAACTGAGTATCATCAGCATAACAATGKAAATTTATCCCATRYTRTTTAATAACTTTACCTAATGGAAGCATATATAAAGTAAAGAGGATTTGTCCAAGCACTGAACCCTGAGGAACTCCATGACTAAATCTGGTGTAAGCAGAAGATTCATTATTAACATTAACAAAATGAAATCTATCAGTTAAATAAAACTCAAACCATTTTAGAGCTGTTCCTGTAATCCCAATATCAAGTTCAAGTCTATGTAATAAAATATTGGGCCTCATGCAAGAACATGTTCGTATTTTTATCCTAAATTTCACTTACTTTTGTTCGTACAAAGGGTTCGTACGAACATGTCACGTCAGATTCAACAAACWCTTCTATCTTCAGGAAACGTGCGTAAATGAGCTGCGTAAATTMCACCTGTTCTATCCAGCTGCTCGTGCACGCGAGAGGAGATTAGCATAATTACCACCCCAAATACACCATATAAGGCTATGATTCCTGCCTCAGATATCAGRAAGTGTCCATTCATGAAAATGGCAGCGAAAACTTAAAAGAAAAACTTTACGAGTTCAGAGATTGAAGTCCGTCTGTCAGAGATCCAGACAAGAAAATCTCTCATTTTTAGCAGCTCAGCTGTGGAATAAAAAAGAGCTGCTAAATGTATAAACAACTGTGTTAAATCATTTTCATTTATTCAGAAGACACAGCGCAGCGCTGCGCACCGTATCCCCCCCCCCCAGCGCGCTGCGCGGCGCAGGTGGTAAGCATTTTTAAATGTTTTTAAAATAAGTCTGGCACTTTGGAGAAAATCCTGGACTTGATCATGTTTCCCCTCTGGTCTGGGAACGTCTTGAGTCCCCCAGGACGAGCTGGAAGGTGTAGCAGGGGAGAGGGGGGTCTCTCTGCTGCTGCCCCCGCACCCGATCCCGGATAGGCGGCGGAAAACGGACGAACGGACAATTTATWGTTAGTCTAAATTATTACATTTAAAATTATAACTCTAATTCAAGCAGAAGAGCCTATTGTCAACATAATTATAGAGTGTGATTTATTTTCAACTCAAAATATCTTCAAACTAACGAAATATAAAGTTATTAGTGAAGAAAACCCGTCTGGATAACAGCAGACTGACTGTTCGTAAAATATACGACAGGTCTGGACCACTCGTAAATTTTGTTCGTATCTGAAAAAAATCGTAGAATACGAAAACATTGGTGAATGCCACAAATTGTCCKAAATCACTCGTACGCACAATTTAAGAACAAATCTGTGCGTACGAACGGTTCTTGCATGAGGCCCAATGTGATCAAATGTATCAAATGCAGCACTGAGATCTAACAGGACAAGAATGGACAAGTCTACTGTCTAACAGGACAACAAGATCAGGTTTCTTAAGTAAAGGTTTAATTACAGSAACCTTAAAGCTCTGTGGCATACAACCATTCATTAGAGATAAATACATCTAAAATATGGATTTTAATTAAGGGAAATGCTTCTTTGAACAGTCTGGTTAGGATGGGATCTAGCAGACATGTTGATGGTTTGGATGAAGCTATTATTTTAGATAGTTCAGAGAGCTCAACAGGACAAAAACTGTCCAGACATAAATGAGGTTCTAGCGACACTAAAGCTGCCTCATCTGACAGAGAATCAGAGACAGTAGCAGGAAGTTTTTTTGCTTTGAGAAAGAAAACCAAAAGGGAGATTTTAACATCAGCTGTGGTGTCTGTAATGTTTTCACGTCATCTGTATTTGTCAGTGAGAGTGGATGTTGAATAATAACATCAGATTCCCTTCCCCAGGTTGGGTCACATATGGATGTGATAAGAGGTCGGGGAGCAGCTGTACCTTGCACAGCTCCTTTGACCACAGAGATGAAACCTTTCCACAGCACATCTGGGTCCATCTCCACATGTCCCACCTCTGGATACAACGGGACAACCTAAAAATAAACGATTATTGAAATTATAAACAGTTTGTAAATATCATAGTAAATGTGTGTTTTATGAGTTATTAAAAGTAAAACAAACAGAAGGAGAGACTAAAGAACCTTGCTTGTGCATGATCCTCGGATTTGTGCCTCCTTGTCATAAACATGACATCTTATTGACGTGGTTCCGACGTCCACTGACAGAATAAAGCTCTCCTTGTTGTACCCGTTCCTCCGGCTGCCCATCGTAAACAGCCCAAATATCCTGATATTCCTCAGAGGGATCCTCCGTCCTCCATGCTTCCAGCATGAATGGATGGTGTGCTTTTATAAAAAGTGTTATGTTACTCCGAGTCTGTGTAACTCAGCCCCTGGACTTTGAGTTTCAGCCCAGTTCCAGTTCAACCTGTTCAATTAAACAAACACGTATTTGTACCCAAAGCTTCACACTGTGTTGGCAACACACTGATACACTTTAGCTCTGTGAGTCAGCAGTGTAATACAAGCGAATTTATTCAGAAGTTGCTACAGTTTCACTTAAGTTTAAGCTATAGCTACACGGCTAGCTGCTAATGTTTTGATATTTGAGAAATTAACGGTTCAGAAAACATTATTGTTTTAAAAACATAGCATAATTTAAACATTTCCCAGGTTTAAAATGATGAAACGGATACTTCTACCATTAAACGAGGGTATTTGAAAACTATAGAAGTTATATCGCGTTACCCAAAGACTTCGCTCCTGTAGGCACCCGTAGATCACGTCATACGCATGCGCAGTAAGTTGTGTTGTTCGCACGTGCGTTCTTCCGCACTTCGACAGCTCTTCAGTTTTAACATTTAAAATGGAAAAGACAGACGTAAATAAGGTATTTTATTTTGTTATTATATCAAACATTGAAGTCATTTYAAAAGATTTAGCTAACCGTTTGTTATGTATGTTTTCACGTGCAATTATTACTAAGCTAACACTGGAAACAGGATTCACGTGTGTCGAACAATTTATTTAGTTTGCTAGGTAGGCTGCTAGTTGGAAAATACAGTTTCAATGACTTGTTTACCTGAATTATTTACTGCTGCATTGATTTTTGTTGTTTGTTTCCCCCCAGATTGCAAAACATAGAAAAGGCAAAAAAATGAAAGCGGTGAAAGGAGAGGACGGCTCCTCAAACACTGGCAAGTCCTTTCTTTTAAACATGTTGCATGAATTCATTTGTTTGTATTCTTCCTGCAGTTTCAGTATGTGTGGTAATAAATCCATTTAGACTGATAGAGCATTAATAATCTTTCAAAGATTATTGAGCATTAATAATCTTTCAAAGATTATTAAGATCATGGATTTTTAGGTCCAGAATTTCCATTGAATGATGTAAAAAATGTCACCTACCTCAAAAACATGCATGTTAGGTTTCCTTCCAGCCCAGGCCTCCCTTGCAAAAGAGATCTGTGATTTCAATGGGAAATCTAGGGATGTGGATACATTTTTTTTATCCTCCACCAATATTAAATCTGAGAGCGGATTCCAAAAGAACATTACAAACCATATTAAATAACACCAAAATCATGTGATTATTTCAAGTATGAGGGAAGTTATTGTTGATGTTTGTTTAGGTGAATCAGCTCATGTTTTCTTGCTGCAGTTCACAGCAGAACCAATGTGCTCATTTCACCGCCTTGTTATCTATTTTTGCTCATAACTTCCTTAGTGTTCAAAATATTCCCATGGAATTTTAGGAAAAGATTCACATTCTSTTTTTTTGTAGGAAGCATCTTGTATCATATAAACTAACAAAACTTAATGATAGCCAATGCAAAAGTAGCAGAAAAGGTATAAAATATATTACAAGGCAAATTACAACATCAAATCAAATTAATGTGTCTTAGAAAGCAAGGAAATTAAAACAAAAAAAACGTGGATATGTTTTGTAAACAAGGGTCCTCAACCAATGACAGCATGTGAAATGTGTCAAGTGACGAAGACGAGCGTCAGCACTAGGGCTGCAACAACAAATCAATAAAAATCGATTAAAGGGGTGCATGATTAGTTGTAACTTTATTTGATAAACATATATTTTAACTGTAAAATAAAAACTTTAAAAATACTGTAGGTTGTTTAGTTTTGTAAATTTTTAAAAAATATTTTACACGGACGGGGCCATTTTATTTACACGCAAAGCATTCTGGGTAAATGATGACGTGGATAGGTCATCGGTGTGAGGCTGCTAGCGAGCTATATACGTAATTTCCCTCTGGGATCAATAAAGTATTTTTAAATTTGAATTGAATATCCACCCTGAAGGTTAATCTTGGACAATATCTGACGATCGACTCTTTTAAATGAAACCAGAGAGCGTTGACAG